TATATATATATATAGACATTTCAGCACAGCCACAAGCAACAGAAAGTGATGGTTAAGTGCCTTGCTTAGTGGCACTACAGTGATAAATGTAGAGGGAAAGGATTAGAATGATTTTCTCAACAAACCCTTTTCAGAATTTTGGGGATTCAAACTGACAACGTTCATATTCTTAACTCTTCCACTGACCATCACCCTAACCGTGAGCGGTCTGTCCCGTATCCAACAATGACTTTCACCCTTGGCTGGTTCCAATATGAAAGCAACCGTTGGTTATTGTTGAGACTGTATAATGTTGTATACTGCATCTCCAGGAAGGCATTCAGCAGTTTCTGATTACCGGCGCCGCACTACAACAACTCCACAGTGCTGAAACTCTTTCTTTTCTCCCTCAGTCCATCCCTCTTCCTCACTCCGCTATCTCCCCTCTCCTCTTTGCATTCATCTAAAATAGCAGCCAAATGGTGTTTTTCTTCACTGACTTATCGCCACCAGCCACAGTCTGGCGTTTCACAATGGGAGGAAAGCAAAACACAACATTGGGGCGGCGATAAGATTTGTCCTCCCTGTTACTGGCGGTATTGTCGCAGACAAACAGCAGAGTTAATGCTGGAAAGCATCCGTCTCCCTCAGCGCTCTCCATCTTTCTCTCCATGCCTCTCATATGTGTGTTGAGGGAAACGGAGGAGAGTGCCACATATACAGACAGAGGTGAACCTGTCACTTCACAGATTCACGGATTGGCTGCCAAACTCACACACTCGGTTGCACACACTCACAAACACACACACACACACACACACACTTAAAGGACGGTGAAAAATGACAAAGCAAGCAGCTAATGCTTGGGCTCAAACGGTAACATATCAGTTTATTCTATTATCAATTATTATCATCATTTTTTTCATATCTCAATCAAATTTCTATTTCCACATTCTCTCCGAGGTCAGGGTTTCTTGTGTTTGGTCCATATGCTTCTATTGACGATACGTAGAGCGTCACATCATGCTGTGAATGAGAAAAGCACTTCCCAGTATGAGCAATGTTTTCATTTGGTTGACAGCAGTATTACGGTAAAACTACCAGCTTGATTTTCCTCACACTTGGTGGAAGGGTGGAAGACGGGAGTTTGGGAGTGGATCCCATTCATGGTGTGGATACACACATTATTGTGATGGAAACAGCCTTAGCGGATCTCTAAGTGCCCTTCTAGTCTTGTTGAGAGAGGATGTATCCTAGAGGATGTATCCTAGCACCTCACAAGTAATCAATAACTACCAACAGCACAGCGAATAGCACTAGCTTTGTAGCACATCACTACAAAGCCTTAATAATAGTGGAGTCGAGTCATCCGGTGTCTTCAGCTCATGGTGACACACTCGACTCGAGATGTGACTGCCTTGCACCTCTTCACTGTGATTACATTTCTTATGACACGGACAGCAAAAAAAGATGTTCTCAGCTGTTGAAACTTTGATTTCAGAATGAAAACATTGGACGTTGTTTGACTTCTGGACCTACAGACGGAATAAACACTCACGATGTTTCAGGTTTTGCTACTGCCGACAGTGCCATGAGCAGAAATAGGATATCATAGTTATTCCTCATATATTGAGTCCAGCGACACGTGATGCAGGTCAGCAGCGTGAAACAATACCCGAGAGAAGACAAGTGTTCATTATTCTTCACTTTGGACATTTCTGCATCCGTCTTCATCTACCTAGTGAAGACACCCACCTCTTCCTGATGTTGTTTGTCTTCAGGGACTCCGCTGGTCCCCCAAAAAAAAAATATATATATATATCATAAAAATTAATTATCGGTAAATTACCGTCATGTCAAAGTGTCAAAATGTAATTTACAGCGGTTTGCTGATGAAGAGCTGCAGCCGAAAGCGTTCAGCTTGGTTAAACAGAAGCAAAAGAAAGCGACCAATCACAGCACCCCTCTGATCAGGGGTGCTGTGATTGGTCGCTGTGTAGGAAAGGAAGAAAACTAAAACTCATATTGGAAACATTAACAACATATCAAAGATGAATAACTTAGTTGTTGACTGCACAGTTTTAAGGCCTATTGTAGGCAACAACAGCCACAAAGTGTTCACTAATTCCATGCTTTTTTTAAATTCCCCCTCTCTTTATTCTTTAATTACTCTTAATTTGACTTTGTGTCTTTTTTCTTTCACTGTCAACTTTCAGTCTCAGAACTCTCATTAGTGATATGTATGAGCTCACTGCTTCTGGCTGTTTAGTTTTGCCTTCAGCAGCATTAAAGGTCTGAATAAGTCTTGAATGTTGCCTTTGTGGGAGCTGCAGATACAGTGTTCAATGTGCTTCAGTGTCCCCCCCCCCTCTTTACACCTCTCCTCTTCCTCTCCGTCTCCCTTCTTATCTACCCCTTTCTTTTTAATTCTTGTTTCTCTGATCTGCCCTTCTCACACATTCATTGGATTGGGTTTGGCCCTCAGGGGCCCTTAATCCAATCCGCTGCTCCTATTCACTTCAGCATTGTATTGTAGCTTCACAGTTAAGATAAGACACAGATTATTGGAGCACACACACACACACACACACACACACACACACACACACACACACACATAACGTAGGCCCTCTCCTAAAATCATGGTCCTATGTTGACTTCATATCCAAACATATAATTTGTGTTGACATATTTACTATTCGGGGCTTATTTCAGTCATTATTTCGCAAAATAAATGATCTGTAATGTGAATGTGACATATTGTTTATGGACCACGTCATGCATTCTCTTTCAAACATCTATACAAAGACAAAGGATACATGTGGTGCACACACATACTGTTTATCTAAGCCGGCCGAGACCCAAAACCTGAGACAAACGGTAGGATAGGGAACCTTCCTACCCTCCTTTACTTCCGACGCCCTTGCTAGCAGCACACCCACCTTTGCACTCGGCCTTAACTTTGTCATTTTAATCCTGGATGCAGTTTGTTTCTCAGGTGTCTCTGTGCGTCTGACTCTGTTTACCTGTTGCCCCCCCCCCCCCCACACTGATGAAGATAACAGTGTGATGGTAATAAACATGTGTTGGTATTTTTGCATAGAGATTGATGGGGATAATGATGATGACGATGATGATGGGCAGTAAAGATGAAGATTGCGGCCGTGGTGTCAACGATACCGGGGACGATAGTGAGAAAGGTGACGCAACGATGATAGTAGAGATAATGTAGATAACTATGGTGATGTTTGTGTTTATGGGAATGGTGATGAGGAAGGTGAATGAAATAGAAGTGATCTGATGATGATGATGATGATGATGATGATGATGATGATGATGATGAAGAAACAGAGGGGATCAATGAAAAACAGAAGCTCAGTGTATGTTCTCACTCTGCCCTGTCCTAATATTTCACACTAGTCCTGTACAACTTGGCGCTCCTTCCAGCAGCCTGCAGCGCTGCTCTGGCCTCCACTATCCCGGCACGGGCACTGCACGGGCACTGCACGGGCAAATGAGTCACGCACGCACGCACCACAATGAGATGCAAACAAATTTATAGCAAGTTGCGACTGGGAGGCAGGGAGGAAATCTTATTGGAATCAAAACAAATCACCGCTGGTCGTCCGTTGGCTCGCTTGTCACATCGTATCAGTCGTGATTGCGTTCAAGGCTGCGGTCATCCGTCACGTCCTATACCGTGTGTTTTGTCTGCGGGGGCCGCCCGGTAATAACAAGGAGGAGGAGGGTTGTAACGGGGAAGCTCTGTCTCGGTAAGGGTGTGTTCCCGGTGGCCAGATGGGTCGACGACCGTGAGTCCGAGATAATCCTGATCAGTCGGTGAGATGACAGCAGAGTAAAGAGTGCGTGCGGGACCCAGAGCTTTGTGCGTCAGTGCGCATTGGAGAGGCGATAAATCAAACGGCTACCAGAGAACGCGCTGGTGTAGGACGCCATCTCTCCCTCTCGCATCTCTCTCCCCCCCCCCCCCCCCCTCACCCCTTCACCCCCTTCACTTTCTCATCTCCCCTTTCGATCTTCCTCTCCATGTCTCTCTCATATCCATCTCTTTTCTATTCTCCAACCGTCTCCAAACGTGTGCACTGCCGCTGAATGAGGTTTGCACTTCGGGATTGAAAAGGCACCAAATAGCCTCGCTCCCTCTCCTCCCTCCTGACTAATGGAAAGTCTATCAGAACAACCACTTTGATATGGAAATTGTTCACTCGAGCACTCATGCGCACTCTTTTTTATTATTATTTTTTACAATGATACTGCTGATATGATACCCCCCCCCCATCTCTGCCAGCAAGCACACGCAGACTCTAGGGTGAAGGCTGTGATTAGACACACACACACACACACACACACAGGCACGCACGCGCCCATGCAGAGATCGCTGCTGCTGTTGCGCGCATAAACACACACACACACACACACACACACACAGACAGGCACGCACGCGCCCATGCAGAGATCGCTGCTGCTGTTGCGCGCATAAACACACACACACACACACGCACATACACACACGCCTGGAGGAAGTGTTTGGCACTGAGCAACTCCAGCAACACCTCCCCGCTCTGAACGCATCAGCCACGGAGGGGTCCATCCGGCAGCTGTCCCGCACACCATGATATAAAAAAACAAAGACAACAAAACTGCCCTTTCGCCGTCTATCGAGGACGGACGACACTCCTGGTCTTTAGGTTTGTGCAAATCTCTCCACCTTCTCTCAACGTTTTCTTTTCCTCGTCTTTCTTCTTCTCTCCTCTGTTCAGCATCTGCTTCTATCTCACAAACCTGCACGCGCTCTTGAGGAGCAGGTGCATGTTGTCCGAATGAGCACATTTGAGGCTACAACACATCCCCTTTAGAGCCGCGGACTACAGCCAACGTGGCAGCATGCGCGTGTCTCTCAAGTGCGCACATCCCGGTGAACCCACAAGTGCGGAAGCCACCCCGACAGTGACACCAATAAGCCCAGCTTTACTCAGCACGGCGAGGGGTGTTTGACTTACCTCGATCGGGGTCTCGGTCTGGCAGGGAGGGAAGAGGCAGCATGCAGCTGTACGGTCCGTTCCGCAGCGGGGAAAGCGAGAGTATTATCCCTGGACAGCGGCGGAGGTCCGTGCGTTCCAGCAGAGAGAGAGAGAGAGCGAGAGAAAGAGAGAGAGAGGGAGAGAGAGATGAGAGAGAGGAGGTGGCTCAGTCCGACAGAGGGGTGATGTTGAATCGGGGCAACAGCCGCTCCCGATTTCAGATGAGTGACACAAACCTGCAGGATGCACAGAGAGAGAGAGAGAGAGAGAGAGAGAGAGAGAGAGAGAGAGAGAGAGAGAGAGAGAGAGAGAGAGAGAGAGAGAGAGAGAGAGAGAGAGAGAGAAACAGCCTTCGCATTTTTTTTCTTCATGTTGTCAGTATTTGAAAAATGTCGGGTGCATCATTAAAATGCTAAAGCAAGCGTCATTTAAATACCACTGTGATATTCCCAGCGGGACTTCAGGCATCTGTGATTCTCAGAAGAGAGTTTCTGGCGACCTTGAGTTAATTGAGCTATTTATATCTCTCACCACATCATCATTATAGTCTATTCCTGTTGTGCATAAAATGTAAGAATGCACAATGTATGAACAACAATGTTCAAAAAGCTCTGTGTTCGTCTCAGTCAAACCACACCGACACTTATAAAGCAGCGCCTCTTATTGGATACAGTCCGTAGATTGAATAACAATTATGGGAGGCTGCGCGGCGGCCCACGCGCGTTTCCAGACGTGTTCATTACGTAATGTTTAGTGTCAGACGGAGTGTGGAGTTCCGGGGGGGGGCACTGTGAAGCCACTCACCGGTTCTCTCTTTACGTCCCGCCATCAAGTTATTGCCTCCCCGTGCAGCGGCGCGCAGCTGCTTTCCAGTCTGGGCACGTAGCAACGCGCCTTCAAAATTGCGCGCACGTGTGGAGGGGCAGGGAGACGGGCTCTTACACACACACACACACACACACACACACACACGCGCGCACACATTCATATTGGCTCACGGAAAGAAAGGGGGGAGATCCAACTGTTCAGATGACGTCATTGCCGGTCAGCTTGAGAGGTATTGATCTGCTCTTAATTTGTGCATGAGTATTTTGGGGAGTGTGTGCGTGTGTGTGTAATACACATTGGCAGACTGAAGTCAGTGGTTTTCGACCACTAAGACCACCACCCCCTGAGCTTCTTATCTTAACCTGGTGATGGAGCAGGAGGTGGGGGGTGGAGGGGGATCCAGCACTGGACGTTTTCTCGAAAATCTCTGAATATTTTAGGTGCTAAAGTTCTATTACTGGGGGAAATATTGCCATCTATGTCCGCCCCCAACATTGGGGGTCATGGAGGGGGTCGTTCTATGCTTACCTTGCACGGCAGCTTCAGATCACAATGGAATGCATCTCGTCAGGCCTGAAGTGATGCGAGCACGGACCAACCAGCTTCAGAACGGCGTGACTTAGGTCAACGTATCCTCATCCAATGATATCCTCGGAAAAGTTGCGCCTCATAATTTGTGCGTTTTTATTTCGAAAGTCTATCACACGCGTCTTATTTAGGTTTAGGAAAAGATCGTGGTTCGTGTTTAAAATACCCACGGAAATACGCAGCAAATACGAAGACGTTAAACACGGGACACAGACTAAAATATCAACACAGCTGCGCAAATACGTAAATGTTTATTATATCGCTGCGCCGTCTGCAGCACGAGTAGATCCGACAATTCAATAAGGTGTGCAGCATAAACTACCATAGCGATGTACCCCGGTAAGAAGTGAACAACCAATCATCTGCCTGTCGTGTGAGGAGAAGTGAATGAGTGGACAAGGAAGTGATTTCAGACACAACCACAGTCTTGTGCTCTGTAAACCCAATCGTTCACGTCCACCTAATTTGTCTTTTATCGTAAATATCACACTCACAGACATTGAATGTTTTCCAGGTAGCAATTATGTTTTGTTCAGAAGTCATCTGGCATTATGTAATAGAGTTAGTAGAGGACATAGCTGGATATATGTTCTCCAGTGAATACTGAGCACAGTGTAATGGGAGTATACATATAGTCCCAACAATCAGTGCACGCTTGGGATTTGCAATAATAAGATCACAAACAAGCTTGATCTCTGTTTATTACGACTGGGTGGGTAACTTTCATTCTTTGTAATCCCGTGAAATTATTTTAAACGGTTGTTTCACAATTTGAAAGAGACGGTAATGAAAAAAAATAAACAATCCACGGAAATAGAAATGATTTCATTCTGTTCCCCTCTGCCGTGAAATTGAGGCAAAGACGAACTGCTACAGCAGCAAATATTTTTGGGGGGAATAAGCAATCGGGCACGGTGCAGAGCTACAGTTGGATAAACAGCATCTTAATTTAAGGGGATGGTGTCTCTTTTCCTTTTTCTGGCTTTATATGTGAACACGTGCACGTCCATGTTTGAATATCTAAGGAAAACCTGTTACTCTCTCTAGGATGTTCACTCATTAGCTGCCTTTCCTTTCTGTCTACAGAGCCTAATAAAGCCGGTCCTCATCTACAGCCGTCCTCGGTTCGATAGTTGGATTGTCCCGTGGGTTTCGGATCTTTACTTTCATCGACAGCTTATATAGATGGCCTGCAGCGTCTGATGGATTTGAGAGTCTTCAGGCTTCCCACACGTTTGCCCTTTGCCCCGTGAGCACAATGGCTGCCTTGCACTACTGAACTGTGACTGAGACGAGAGGGTTTGGATTGGCCGCATCACGCCAAAGTTCGGCACAGGAGAGATGTTGGGTTGACCTTTGACCCAATGACAAAGGTTTGATGAAAGCACCATGGGAGTATGATTTATAAATACTCCCATGGTGTCTCTGTGTCTGCGCATAGTTTCAGAGAATTCATCGGAAAAAAACTCTCCTTATTTTAAGGTCTTTTGAATAGTTTCATGTTTAATGAAATCTAACAGCTTGAACATAAGGTGTGATTTATGCAAATGATGCAATCAATGATTTGTGCAGTGGTAGCATGATGAATGCATTTAGGTATTAGATGATTTCCTCTTTCCCTCCATTACATTTCGTCAAACATAATTTGATGCTTGCAAAGATGAATACACTCGTCAACGTTACCATGGACGCTACTGTCGGCGTCTAGAAGTCACCAATGCTAAGAATTTAGCAAGCTAGTGCAACGCAAAGGCATAGCAAGAGACGAGAAATATCAGGCCGCTGGGAGAATCAGTGAATAATAATAAACTATCTTACCATGCTGCAAAAATATGAACTTCCATGGCCTCAGCCATCTCTGAAAAAATGTCAGCCAACACGAGAACATTTCCACTCTCGAAGTTGTGAGTAACACAACATATGGAGGCCGTATGTGCTGAAGACTGCTGAAATGTGAAATCATCTCTCTATGTAAAGATCTCATCCCACACAAATTATGCAGCAACCCCTTTGGGCAAAAAGGGCCACAAGATTCACCACCCCCCCCCCCCAAGTTTGGTTGAAGTCATTCCGTCTTCTCAAGGCTGTTGACGAGGTTGAAATGTGAGATATAGGGATATAACAGAGTGCGTCATCCCTCCAAGCTTTGACAAAAAACAGACCGATGGTGTCGGTGTAACAAATAACATTGCTTTTCACAATCAACACTTGAAATGTTTAAAGCACTTGCAATGACAAAGTAGCACGAAAAGTAATGTTTTAACTCTTTCCTCAAGATTTAATTAAAGTTCTTCTTTTTTCTTTTTACAAAATGATTGGAAACATTTTTGAAAAAACCCTCTTCCTTCCAGTAAATGTAAATTCATACCTTTGTAACTTAATAGCAACCCTCCTCCCACCTCCGCTTCGTCTTGATAATTTCTCCTTCTCATTATTTCTCTTTCTTAGTCTTGCCCATGTGTTAGTTGTATCCTTGTAAATATGCTCCATCTGAAGTACATCTGCGCTCGAGCTCTGGGAAATGTGACAGAAGGATCATAAGATGACAGAGAGCTCATCAGTCGTTACAATGTTTGTCTTCTTCTGTGGTATCTGTGATTGTGATGTGCAGACCAGAATTTAGATGAATATAAACTGAGCATGATGTAAATATTTGATGTTTTAGTTTATGTTCTGGTGATGGTGTATTGGTGTCACGGTTCGGCTGCCTTCTGTGTCTCTGTGTGTGTGTGTCTCTGTGTGTGTGTCTCTGTGTGTGTGTGTGTGTGCTTTGGGCGTGGCTCCGCCCTGCTCTCCTCCCGGCTCCCTCCTGATTACATTCATTCACCTCACCTGCCCAGTCCACCCAGCTGCCTTCCATCTACTCATCACCCAACAGCATATCTACCCCGGTTACATCAGGGGATCACCAAAGTCATCCTCTGGAAGCTATGAATGTTTGTACAAATGTCAATCCCTCAAGTAAACGTTAAGATATTTTACTAAATAAGTCAAAACTTTGCTTTGCTGTTGGATGACACTAGAGGAAATAGAGGATCACCAATGTCAGTATGATTCATCCTCTTATGACCATGAATGTTTGTACAAAACTTCATGGCAGTCCATTCAATAGTTGTTGAGATATTTCAGTCTGGACCAAAGTGGTCGACCCACTAACAGACCCACATAAGGAGATGTTGCTAGTGTAGCTAAACAGAGAAGCAGAAACAGCCAAGAAAGGTGATTCTTTTTTTTGATTTAGCGAAACAGTTCCAAAATGCACCATCCCTCCAAATGACACCTGAGATATCTCGTGTATTAAATGAACCATCACAGCATTGACCTCCACTGACTGTAGTGCAAATAGGTCATTTTTCCAGTCGTGCCAGACTGTAGCAGGAGCCACCTGTCACCTTTATTTCTCCGCGTGTACTCCTTGGTATCCATTATTCATCAAAGTGGAGGAAAATTCTCCAAATATCTCTGGCAATCCCCTCACTATCTCATCACACGCTCAGTGGGCAGACAGGAGGCTTTACGGCTGTGACTGTTTTTCCATCAGTGAGGATTACCTCAGTGTCTGCACCCTATACAGGCAGGGACAAGTGGAGAAAAATCTGTCTCGGGCTCGGGGAACAAGTGAGATGCGTTTAGTACATTGCTTTCTACTGCTGATGGAATTATTGTATATAGGAGTCAGCGACAAATAGTAGCACCTGTACAATATCATGCAAGTCAACACGACAAACTACAGCCTCTAAAATTACTGGAGAGTTGCATCAACACCACCCGGCACAGGCTCAACAGAAACTGAACAATACAAGATTGTCAAATGTAGT